GGGCAATGGGGGAGAGGGGGAGGGAGGAAGGCCGTGCGGTCGTACCTAGGACAGAAGGACATGCCTCAAGACCGTGAGACCCACCGCCGGCCAAGACACCCCGAGCCATGAGATCGCCGAGGGTGCCCCCCCCCCAGGCTGCACAAGAACGTGCGACAACAAACGGAGCACACCAGGGGCAACCTCCCCGAGCCGACCACGGCCTTACACCTCGGTCCGACCGTACGGCACCGCCCCCCCCCCGCAGTGTGCCCCCTGCACCACCGTCGGAGGCCTGGAAATTGGCACCAACACCAAGACAGAGGGTTGCATCCACAGCGGGAAGATGATCCTAGATTTTCGGTGTTGGTGGTAATAGTTCGGCCACCTTGGAAGCCAGAATATTACCACCATCACCGAGATCGGGACATTCTTCCCCCGGTGGAGGCACACCGCCGAAATTGGTGTTGGTGTCAATCTCTAGGCCTGCGACACCGCAGCGCCTCGCGGGCGAGAGGCGCAGCTCGGCGGAGGCAGCGCGGGTGCGGACGGAGCCCGGGAGGCGGGCGCCCGGGGCACGCCGTCGCCGGAAGATGCCCCGCCGAACACGAGGGCGGCCAGAGTCCCGGAGACGAGGCCGGGACTGGGACGAAGTTTGGACCGGGGCAGATCGCCCGATCGCCCGAGACGTCCCCGGGAAACGGCCCGAGTCCGAAAACCGTGCGGTGACCCGGGATCCCCACTGACCCACCACGCGGCAGGGTCCTCGCCGTCTGGCTTTCGGGCCATGCGTCGGGTCGGCGGCGGCTGTTCGTGACGGTCTGGGCACCCCAGGACGCTAGCGGCGAGGCGCAGCTGCTGGAACGCATCCAGAGGCGAGGTAAACCCCAAGGAACTTACGAAACCGTCTGACAAAAAAACCCTACATCCCCTCTGCTTATCTAGGCGGTGTGGTCACCGCACCTCTGGGAGGCTCACGAAGAAGGAGGAGGGTGGAGGGGCGGCTGCTGGCTGCAAGGACGGCTGCTGGCTGCTGGCTCCGGCTGCTGGCCCCCGCTGCGGGCGGGTGCTCGCGGCGCTCCGCACCACCGTCGCGTTCGCCTTGGCGGTCCCGTGCATCGGAACTTGTAGGCCCCGGCGGGCGCACCCCCTCGGCTCCAGGACCAGTCACCGCTGAGCGGTGCGCTGGTTCCAGGGTTGGGGGGTAGCGCCCGCTCCCGATCGAAGTGCTCAGGAGCGCGGACAGACGCGTTCGCCGCTCGGAGGAAGAGGAGGAAGAGTAGGAAAAAGAGGAGGATGAGGAAGCGGAAGAGTAGGAGGAGGATGAGGAGGAGGGGGAAGAGGAGGAAGAGTAGGAAAAAGGGGAGAATGAGGAAGCGGAAGAGTAGGAAGAGGATGAGGAGGAGGAGGGGGAAGAGGAGGAAGAGTAGGACAAGGAGGAGGAGGAGGAGGAAGGGGAAGAGGACGACAACAAATTCGACAAGGAGAAGCCCCCACTGAGTCACCACGCGGTGCGGCCACCGCACCGCTGGCGGGACAAACGCCAGCTGGCGCGCCCGCTCTGACTGGAAGGGGGGCGCCTCCTGATGATGATGATGCTGCTGCTGCTGCTGCTGCTGATGATGATGATGATGATGATGATGATGCAGATGATGATGTTGATGATGATGATGTTAATGTTGAGTTGTTGATGGTATTGATGATGATGATGAGGCTGATGATGCTAATGATGATGGTGCTGATGTTGATGTTGATGATGAGGATGATTATACTGATGCTGCTGATGATGATGGTTGTGATAATGATAACGATGCGGCTTATGATGATGGTGGTGACGATGCTGCTGATTTATGGTGATGGCGATGATGCTGATTTATGACTTATGATGATGATGCTGATGCTGATGCTGATGATAATGATGATGATGATGATGTTGATGATGATGATCCACGGCGCCTCCGCGTCGTCGCCGTGGAGCTTCCCCGCCGCCTGCGGGCGGCCGACAGGGTTAGGTCGGTCATGCCCCTCTACAAGGGGATTTTGGTCGAAGAACTGAAAATACCAAACAAATATCAAACAATATCAACAAAAATGGCCCCAAAATAATGTTTGTACTATTTTGGATATCCCCCCCTGTAGAGGGACAGGCCCGACTTAACGACAGGTGGCGGCGCGGAGCGCCGCCCACGCGCGCGGAGAGGGGGCGAGGGCGCGGGCTCGCCGCAGAGCGCGGAGCAGGGAGCGGCCGCCCCGGCAGCTCCTCGGGCCGACCCCGCCACGATATCTCACGAAGACGGGAAGGTTCCCAGGAGTGGCGAGGACACTGCTTCTGCAAATCCCCGCTTCTCCTCCTCCTCCTCCTCCTCCTCCTCCTCCTCCTCCTTCTCCCTCTCCTCTTCCGCTTCCTCCTCCTCCCACTCCTCCTCCTCCTCTTCCTCCTCCCCCTCCTCATCCCCCTCCTCCTCCTCCTCCTCCCCCTCCTCCTCCACTCTGGGGCCCACAAGGGGCACGAAGGGTGCACCCTTACCATGTTGTGAGCATGTGCGCGAGCAGTGTTCTCAAACGTGTGCTCCGAACAGAATTCTCAGACACACGTGCTCCAACACACATGCAACAACACGACGTTCTGACAACGAGAACCAGGGCGGTCTCGGTCAGAACTGCTCGGACATCCTCAGAGACCGACCGTCCCGACATTTCTATAGTCATACCACGACATGTTCTTAGAACCCACATATGTTCTAAGAACAAAAACAGTGTTCTCAGAACATAACCACGACGTGTTAAACCAAGACAGCCTCCGCCAGAAATGTTCTAAGAACCTTTCGCGGAAACCACAAAAGGTTCTTAGAACATTGTTTGGTGTTTGGTGTTCTTAGAAGCGGGGACGCTTCGCCACTGCCTGAATCCTTTCGCGCAAACGCGCCGCATCGGCGACGCCTCGGCGACGTCGCCCGTGCATCGGCGCCGTCGGGCGCGTGGCGAAATTCGGGCCCCACGTCGAGGCGCGTCGCCGAGGCGGCGCGATCCTCCGATCCTTATGTCGGGCCGGTCCCCCTACAGGGGGATCTTCGATACTCCAAAATGGGCAAGCAAAAATACTCAAGAGATAGTCCCCAGACTATTTTTGGGTCTATGTTTGGATTATTGTGGGGGTATCTTCTATTCTTCGTCAAAGTTCCCCCCTGTGTGGGGACAGGCCCGACTGGACCCGATCCTCGGGCGCCATCCGCGAGGCCCGGAGCCACAGGCGACGGGGCCACCTCTGCGGCCTGCCCGCCCGTCGGGGCCCGTCGGGGCTCCGTCGGCGACGCCTCGAGGCGCTCGAGGCCGGAAGCCCGAGGCCGGGGAGGTTTTGTTCGAAGGTTTTGTCGTCGGTTCTCCGCGGGATTCGCATTCCTTCGGCGTCGCCCTGGTTTCTGCTCCGCGGCCATGCCTTCTGTCGGCGAGCCTCGTCTCTTTGTCGGCGGATGTTTCGCACTCGTTCGGCGGCCTCGGCCTTTTTCCGGCGGCCTTGCCTTTTTTGTCTGCGGGTTTCGTATTTGTTCGGCGGACGTCCCATTTTTTCGGCGCGGCTTTCCATTCCGCGGCTGCGCCTCGCTGAGAGCGTTCCTGGGGTGCCCGGATCGTCCCGAACGGCCGCCGGAGAGCGGAGAGCGGAGCTGCGAGCCGCAATCCGAGGGGGAGCGTTCTGGGGGGGGACCGGCTCAGGGGAGCGATTTCGGGGGACATCGACCTGAAGTCGGCGAACGTTTTCGGCGAACGTTTTCTGGGGAGCGTTTTCAGGGGAGCGTTTTCAGGGGAACGTTTTCGAGGGACATCGACCTGAAGTCGGCGATACATCGCCGGCCTGGAATCGGTGATACATCGCCGATAGACGGAGGTAACTATTAGGGGCACGGACAATGACATAAACATACAAACTCGGAGGTCCGCGCGAAATTCTCGGATCGGCGCCGGACCCCCCTCCCTGGCGCGCGGAGCGCGCCAGGGGCGGCGCCGGAGGCGCCGCCTGGGGGGTCCAGCGCGGATCCGAGAAATAGATCCGCGCGGACCTTCGCTGGGAGGAGAGGAGTGCGCGACTGTGGCGATTGTGGTCCTCCGCCGCCGAGGAGTGGGCGACTGTGGCGATTGTGGCGCTTAAGGTGTGCGCCCTCCATCGCCGAGGAGTGAGCGGCTGTGGCGACTGCAGTCCTGCCCCTAACGTTGCCCCTGATCAACGTGGCCTTCGCCGAGGAGTCGGCGACGGTGGGTCGATGCGTTTCCCCCTGGGGCCTGGGAATCAGGAGAGGCAGGAGGAGGAGAGGGCGGAGGAGTCGAGCGTGCTCGAGAGGGCGGAGGAGGAGCAGGAGCAGGAGCAGGAGGAGGAGGAGGAGGAAGAAGAGGAGGAGGAGGAGGAGGTGGAGGGTGGAGGAGGAGGAGGAGGAGGAGGAGGAGGAGGAGGAGCAGGAGGAGGAGGAGGGGGAGGGGAAGCAGGAGGAGCAGGAGGAGGAGGAGAGGAGGTCCTAACGTTGCCCCTGATCAGAGGCCTTCGCCCGCTCGCCCACCGGGCCCCATCGTTCGCCCCAGTGCGCCCTCTCGAGTGGCAGGCGCCCTCTCGTGACGAGAGCTCCGCCACGGCCCGTGCTGTGAGAGCCAGCGGCTGCCACCTGTTGCGTGCGGGGCGCCCTGCTTCACAGCAGGGGCCCGACCACGAGACCTGCCACAAGAAACCCAACCCTGAGACCCCAGGACGTCGATTGATGTTTGAAGTGGGGACGCCGCGGGTTCCATCGAAGAGCCATCGAACCCCAGGAAACCCAGGGCACCCTGGAGGCAAGCTGGGTGTTTCTTGGCATGGGCCTCCACTGCACCTCACTTTTGGCCCGCTCCCTGGCGAAAAGCCAGTTGTGAGCGCGCCCCAACTCGTCGATGACGTCCCTCCGCCCCTCGATCGAGGCGTGCAAGGCAACGAGATTGGCTCCAAGAGCCCAGGGGCTCAGACATGCGACGATGGGATTTCCCCGCATCCTAAGATGTTTTTGTTTTTGTTCGGCACTCTCGGCAAAAGTTCTGCAACTGCCAGCTGAGCTGATCGACGTACCACTGCGGGTTGCCGCGGCCAATGCTTACTCGATGGCCCAATCAGGACGATGCGGTGACAGGAAACAAGGCAGATAAGGAGCAGCAATACAATGACCAACGGAGCTCGTTCCCGCCGAGCGTTGGGGTGGGTGGGTGGGTGGGGGGTGATTGTGCAGCAGTGCCAGTCTACAGCCTGCCTCACCAGCGAACGAATGCAACGCGATCGCAACCTGACTCGCCAATCTTGTTGATCATCGTGTCTAATGCAACCTGCCAATCTGCCTCTTGGCATGGGCCATATACACCAATTCTGTGACCCCGGACACTTGTTGCCACCCCACAAGAAGATATACCAAAACGCAAATCGTGACGGTAAATATAAACACCCCGGGGTGTATAAAATGCTAGCAGCAGTTCGTCAAACGAAGGCGGAATCGAAAACTTGACGTTCTGAAATTGGAACAACCAACGTTTCCTATGCTTGTCCCACTGAAGCTGCGAACTCTTGCATTCAACACGAATGTCATCTCGGTGCCAGTCGCACACTGCCCTATGAACTCCGCGCCGCTGAAGGCCACCCACACAATACCCAGAATCGGGCCACTTCATCTCAGCACAAGGATTGACGATTCGATCCACTCGGCGGGTAAGCACTTCAAGTCGCTTCCCCCTCGTGGCAGGAGTGACCTCAAATAAAGGGCAACCATTGAAAATCTTCTGAGTCACGTTGCACCGAGAATCTAGAGCGTGCTGTATCCGATTGTCCGCTAGTGGCATAATTGACAGACGTTCGCAAGAATTTGCGCCGTCGTCGAGCTTGCCCAATACATGTTTCAAGGCAAGACGCCAATCTTCGATACCGCCCCCACTACTTATCCGAAGCTGGTGCCCAACCGTGGATGTAAGCCGTCCCGCAGAACGCAAACCGAATGTACCCCAATGTCTGTAGAAGTACAGGTGCGTAGGAGTATACAAAACCAGAAGTAACTCATCAAACGCAGCTACTCTCCGAGCTTCACCGTGCGCAATCTTAATATGGTAGAACGCGAATTCCCAACTCTTTCTGGAGGGGACCCATGACATCTTCGAACTCTTGCATTCGACGCGCAATCCATCTCGAAGCCAATCGTACTCCATTATGTTAGGTCCGCGTCTGGAACCATTGCAGCAATTGCCAAGCACACCCCTCTCAAATATGGAGCGTGGGTTCACTTCCGCGTCAACCTGTCGAGCCACTTCTGCAATGACATCACCTCGGAGGCTTGGTGTTATCGTGGACAATGGGGCCCCGGCAAACACATCAGATGTATTAGCGTTGCTGGCTTGAAGGATATTTGAAAAACTGGACGCCTGCAAAATCAAATGACGGACGCCCTGCGGTGCTAGGAAGAAGCTCCGACCAGAACGTAATGAGATAGCAACCTCGAACGCCATAGACAAACTACCGATAACACGTACCCTGAAGGAATGACCTGTGCTTGCGACGCGAATTCCTTAAATTCGCAGCGAATCGAGATTCAGCAGCGGAGAATAACGTCGTGGCAGAATCTTTGCCAGGGGATGTATGCACATATGCTGGGCGTGTTGCAGTAGCAACTCTTGACCAACAAAAATACCGACCAAATCGACTCACGGTCTGCCCGGGTCCTAATCAGTGACACAAGAGGCCGAGAAACGTTCAAGCCAATACTTGTATGCCGGACCTGCTGTTGAGCCAAAATGGCCACGGGCATCCTAAGAGCAGGTTCTTGTCAATACTTAGACGCCTCCCGGACCACCCCCTCGTCGACGAGCTGGGGCGCCCCAACTCGCCGACGACGTCCCTGCGCCCCCTCCACGCAGCGCGGTCGCGAATGCGCGCTGCTGCGCAGCCGGACACGTGGATTCCTAGCATTAGGTCGGGCGTGTCCCTCTCTACAGGCGGATTTTGGGCGAAAACAAAACATACGCCGAAAATACCCCCCAACAAATCAAAAATGATCAAGACATCGTTCCCAGGTTATTTCTTGACTATCTTGATTTTGAACATTCCCCCTGTGGACTTCGTCCTGGCAGGTCAGGGGCACCCGCTGGCGCAACAGAGCTCTGGGCTCCGTTCGCCCAGCCCCTTTGCCTCGACTCCCAAACAGTGCTCGCATCGTCGTCTCGTGCTTGGATTGCGTCGGGCGTGTCCTCCTACAGGCGGATTCTGGACGAAAAATAACATGTAGTACAAACATATTCAAACATAGTCAAAACAACAACATCAACATTAAAATACATATTCAAGTAGTACAACAGAATCAAAATTAGCAATAATGCGAAAATATTCGAAAATAGTCAACAGTACTAGAGAAATCGTCCACAGGATATTCTTTGGCTACTTTTGAATATGGAATATTCCTCCTGTAGAGGGACAGGGCCGACTTAAAGCTCTGTGCTCCGTCCGCCCAGCCCCTTTGCATCGTTCCCCACGCAGTGCTCGCACCATCGTCTCTTACTTGAATGTTACACGAATTGCCTGGCGTGTCCAAAGGAACCGTTGTTTTTGACTCGGCGATAACCCGGGTTATCCGGGGGAGGGGGGGAGGAGGGGGCCGGCCGATAACCTAACCCTCGCGTTGTGAGCAACCCTGTATCTGCCCGCGCCCCCCCTCCCGCGGACCTGCACAACGGGCAAGGTCAGGTTATCCTGGGGAGGGGGGAGGGGGGGCAAGCCCGACAACCCGGGTTATCGCCCGACCCTGAAACAAAAACACAGTCTCCTCTTGAAGGTCGCTGGGGGGGCCGGGGGGGCAGCGTTGCTTCCAGGGCCAGATCCCCGTACGCTCGCTGGGCGCACTTGATCGGTCGACAGCAAATCCTTACAGCCGCCCTTCGCGAGAAGCTCTGATCTCAGGTTTGCTCTTGCCGACGACTGGGCTGCTCAGGCTTGCTCTTACCCTACAAAATAATTGCCCTCTCCCCCGTCGCCCCAGAAGCACAGATCGCGTTCGCTGCCCCTCAGCGAGCTTCAAGTCTCCTCTTACTTGAATGTTACGCGGCTGGTGCGTCGAAGAACTCCGCGCGTGCCTCCGAAAGTCTGTGATTGTGCGGGGTACTCCCTCCCTCCGAGATTGAGCAGGAGGAGGTCAACGAGGAGGGATTGCATACTCTATGCCTTCGCGGGCTCACTACCCTCGCCCAGCTTCTGCTTGCATATTCGTGTCACACACTCAGCGAGCTTCAGCTAAGGGATAGGGATAAGTTCGAGGCTGAGGAGTGGCCGCCCGTGGCCGCCCCGTGGCCGCCCAGAGCGCTCCCGCCGGCACTCCAGGGTTCCAGCCCTCCTCCTCCCTCCTCCTCCCTCCTCCTCCGTCCTCCTCCTCCCCCTCCTCCCCCTCCTCCTCAATCCTCCTCAATCCTCCTCCTCCTCCTCCTGCTCCTCCTCCCCCCCATCTTCCATCCTCCTCCTCCTCCTGCTCCTCCTCCTCCTGCTCCTCCTCATGCTCCTTCCTTCTCCGTCCTGTGTGGCTGGCAGTCTGGGGTTTCAGCCCTTCCTTGATAGATTTCCTGAGGAATCTAATAGATGTCCTAAGGAATCCTATGGATGTCCTAAGGACTCCTGTAAATGCCCCCGAAGGTTTAACATGAAGCATATGGATTCCCATCGGATTCCTGTAGATGTCTGCAGGTTTTCCCTCCTGTGTGGCATGCGCATTTGCTGTGAAGATGTCTGCGCTGACAGCGACGGGGAAGAGGACGAACACAGAAACGTCTCGCCCACAACTTCTCAATCTCCCGTGGCTGCCCGTGCGGTGGCTGGCACGCGGAGGTTTTCGCCCAGCGGCCGCCCGTCGCCACCTGAAGGTCTCCCGTGTGGCTCCGACTGGCGCTTCCGTGCAGAAGCCTGGTGGCTGCACAGCTACGACCATGCAGATTGCACAACATGCGCTACATCACACATATTGTGCTCCATGTATTGCACGACGTACATCTCCTTGTCCTTAGACATGAAACTCGACCCCCCCCGTCAAAGCCAGACCAATCCCCGCTCCTCCGCGTAAAGCGTGCTGCTTCGTATCTATGAAGCACGGACATCAAACAACATGCCAGTCAGGCTGGTAGCAGCCCCCTTCGCACCTGTCCAATAAGACCGCAGCGCACTTGCGTTGACATAGCACATGTGCTTCGCCATATGCCTTGCTAAAGCAGCCATGACGACCACGTGCGCGCACATGCCAAAACCAAGTAAACAAATATGCGCACAATCGATGTTTTAGATCTAATATAATAATCAACGATTGGTTTTACCGAGAAGTGCGCCTGATAATAAACTTATGTGTGTTGCGAAAGATTGTTGCGTCGTGCCTTTGCGTAATCTGTTTGTTTGCGTCGTGCCTGTGGCAAAGTGATTGTGCGTAATGTGTGTTGCGTTCTGTTTTTGCGTATTGTAGGTGCGTCGTGTATTTGCGTGCTGTATGGGCGTAGTGAGGTTCGCATCGTGCATTTTGCGTCGCGAATGGACGAAGTGTCTTCGGGTTGGGATAGCGCCTAATGATGCGGCGTTGTGTTTTCGCGTCGTGTGTCCATGATCGGCCCACGAACTTGGAAAAGGATTCAGAACCGCGAGGTCTGGGGGCGCTTCCACGCAGCTCATTCGGGCGATGGGCAGTGGCAGTGCTGAAGATATCCATGGTGGCGCTGCTGTGCCAAGGGCTGCGTTGAGCTTCTCTGCGCTATGCCGCGCCGCGCTTTGACATGCCAGGGACGCGCACGGAGCGTATTTGCATAGCGTATGTGCGTGGTCTATTTGCGCAATATGTTTTAGCGAATGGAATGATTAGTTTCGCGTGGACTACGCGCGTCGCGTTTCCGCGTGATGTTGTTGCATCGCGTTTTCGCGTTATGACATGCGCCATGGCGCAGAGGAGCACCCTGAGGTCGGCAGGGGTCACTGCACAGCGCCTCGGCCGTCAGAGAGTGCAATGGCCGTAAAGGGCGTACAAGGGACGGCCCAACAAAAAAGAAATGGGAATCCGAAAAGGGCACCCATACCGCTACTCCGTGGGCCTCTCCTGGAACGCATTCAGACTAGAATTTCGAGTAGAATCCAACCGTCGCTCTCCAGGGCGACCAACGGTAACCAAATCTTTTTCTGCTCTCAAGAAAGAGATTACGAAGTGCCCTCAGACTTGAAGCCGACAGTCCAGTCACGAATGCACAGGGCAAGCGACAACCGCGAAGAGGGAAGATCCCAAATGCGCATGGGGGGGAGCGACCACAAGACGATACAATCGCCAGCACGTCCTACCAAGGGAAGATGCCACACGTCTTGCCAAGGGAAAGTGTCAAACTTTAGCCTCGGAGCGCGTCGCACTGGCCACGTTTGCTCGTACTTCACGGCAGGAGGCTCCTTTTGGCAATGTATCTCGAGCCCCAAACAGCACGTGTGACCAGAAAACCGAAAAACGACTCGACTTATCAGGACGAAACGCAAAAAACAAAGCCGGCGCGCCCCCCCTGCCAACATGCACGCCCAGCACAACCAGCTCGACTCACGTTTCACTCCTGGCTGAAGCCCGCTCACAGCTGCCTCTCGACGCCATCCTGGCAACTTGGTTTCGAGCCGCACCCGCCGAGCCGACGACGGCACCGCCGAGGCCCGATCAAAAAACACAGAAGGTAGCGTCTTGTGCCACGCAAGAGACAGGAGAGGTATCGCAGGGGGGCGCACAAGGGGGTGGAGGGGGCCTTACATCTGTAGATGAGGCCCGCGCCTTCTAAGAAGCAGGGGTGCTTCTAAGAAGGCCTCCCCCATCCCCCCACCCCCCTTTCTGCGCGTGGCTGAGTCTTGTGCCACGCAAGAGAAAGGAGAGGTATTGCAAGCTTTTCGCCCGCGCCGCTAGCTTAAGCGTGGCTCGCACGATTGATATCCGCTTCGCGGCGGCCAGGCCGTCACGCCCAGGACGTCTGGCTCCCCGACCACTGGCCTGACGCTCGCTGGGCCGGCGCAAAGAGGACAAGGATGATGACCAGAGCAAGGCCAACACGCACCAGTCGTGCTGCACGTTCCCGTCCCACACCCACTCCCTGTCAATCACCGCACGTGTGAAATTATATATCTAGATCTATCATGTAACACCCCCCACAACACCCATAATTCGCCTTCTTTCTTTTGACCGCGTTGCACTGCAATTATTATTTCCGTCTCCCTCTCGTCCTCTTCCAGGTGTTTAGTTTGTTGTCCTCCTCCCTCCTGTCTTACCCCTTCCTTGCCTACAGGGTCCCCCGGCGCCTGAAGGCGAATTTTGTTTCGACCTCACTGGCGAGCGCGCTCTGGCTGCTAGGCTGGCCAACGCCCAACGGCAGCGCGCTGTAGAAGATGCAAACGGCGCGTTCCCCCGCAGAGGAAGCCCAAAGCTTATGACCAATCCCGCCGAACCTTTTGATTTCATTGAGATGCCTGGGATTTCTGGGGTGCGAATCCCAGAAGCCAGGTGACGTCACTGGGATGCTTGGGGTTTCTGGGGTTATCCTCCCTCCGACACCAACCTATCTGGAGCCCCCATAAGGCTCCGAACGCCAAGCGTCCCCATAAATCCACAGGGATCGCAACGTCAGGGAAGCCGAAGCACGGTGATTTCACTGGGATGCTTGGGATTTCTGGGGTGCACATCTTGGAAACCATATGAATTCGTTGAGGAGCTTGGGATTCCTGGGCTTCTCCCCCCTCCAGCAATAATCGGCCCTGGAGCCCCCCCCAGGGTTCCGAATGCCGGGCATCCCAGTGAATTCACAGGATTCGCGACGTCAGAGAAATCCAAGCCCTGTGATTTCACTGGGATGCTTGGGAGTCCTATCATGCTCATCCAGATTTCTATCATACTAATCCCAGACACCCTATGGTTTCACTGTGATGCGTGGAATTCACCCCCTCCTACATAATAATACCCTGGAGCCCCCAGGGCTCCGAATGCCAAGCTTTCCAAAGAATTCGCAGTGTTTGCGACGTCAGGCACGTCGAAACCTTGTGAGTTAAATTTGAGTTTTTCTGGGAAGCTCATCACAGAAGCCATGTTTGTGTTCTTCCTTTTTTCTCCTGGGGTGCTAGGCATTTCTGGGATCCCCCCCTCCAGAAATCTACCCTGGAGCCCCCAAGGCTCCGAATGCCAAGCGTCCCATTGAGTTCACATGGTCCACAACGTCAGGGACGCCCAAACCTTTGATGTCATTGGAGTGCGTTGGATTTTTGGTGTGCTACTCAAAGAAACCATATGATGTCACTGGGATGCTTGGGTTTTTTTGGGTGTCCCCTTCCACGCCCCAGAAACAGCATACATTGGAGCCTCCAGGATTCAGAGCCCCAGGAAACCCAGGAAACCCAAGCATCCCACTAAAATCAAATGGTTTCTGGGATGAGCACCTGGGAGATCCCAAGCATCCCAATGAAACCAGCAGGTTGAAATTCCCTGACGTCGCTATCCCTGCATTTCACTGGGATGCCCCGCATTCGGAGCCCAAGGAGGCTCCAGGGTCGACGTGTGTCGGAAGGTGACAAGGGAAACCCCCGGGAACCCAAGCACACCAGTGAACTCATATGCTGTTTGAAAAAAGCACCCCAGAAATCCCAAACATCCCAATGAACTCAGAGGGTCTTGGCTTCCGTGACGTCGCGATCCCTGTGAATCCAATGGGATGCCCACCATTCGGAGCCCATGGAGGCAAGGGTCGACTGCTGTCGGGGGGAAGTGGGTGGACGGGAACCCCCCTAATGAACTGATATGACGAATGCAACCAAAAGAAAAAACACGTTCGGTGACCCCTTTGTGCCCGCGGGATGGCTCGCACGATTCCCCTGCGGGGGAAAGCGCCATTTGCATCTAGAGCAAAAGACAGAAAGAGGGAAAGAGACAGAACGCGAAAGGAATCGGACGGAGACGGGGGGAATGGTAAGAGGACGAAGCAGGGGCGAGGAATAAAGGAAGAGCGTGGATGATGAGAGGGAGGACGAGCGTATGGGTGATGAAGAAGGAAGCGTGTGCATTATGGTGGATGAGCGTATGGATACGCACGAAGAGGACAAGGAGATGGCGGGAACGGAGAAACTGAGGAAGGACAATTATGATAATGGAGGAAAGGCATCGACAAAGCAAAGGAGGACACATGAAGGGTGATAGGATCAGGAGAAGCATGGGTGCGAACGGACCAACATGCGCTCAGGAGTACGGGTAGCAACATGCGTAAAAGTGGGGCCAGTAAAAACGGAGAGTAAAGTAGACGCAGCCAGCGCGAATCCCCGATGGAAAAGCAATGGCTGCGCATCTCTCTCTCTCTCTCTCTCCCTCTTTCTCTTGTTTTGTCTCTCTTTCTCTCTCTCTCCCTCTCTCTCTCTCTCTATATATATATATATATATATATCCATGTTCCCTCTCTCTCTCGGTCTCTCTCTCTCTCTCTCTCTCTATCTCTCTTTCGATTCGCATGTGTATGTATGTATGTATAAATGCATATATGTGTATACGTGCAAATGTAAATCTTGATATACATGGGTATCACGTACGTATTCCTTCACAGCGGTGAGTGCCTCGCGCGCCTGCACTGCGTACAATCACTGTCGTTCGGAATGCCACTCTCCGACCACGTTCAGGTTCCACTGCGCACCGCTTGGGTCGAACTTGACTGATTGGCTGGGAAGTTTTGGTTTGGGTTTGGGTTTGGGCTTGCGTTTGGCTTCACTAAGAAACCTTCTTATTGGAAACCGATAAGAACTCCAATAGGAAGGCCCCCGAGGAACTTCATTGAAATTTGATCAGAATTGAATCAACTATGATAAGAATTCAAAAACAATTCAATAAAATGCCTTCCTGGCGATATTTAGAAAGAGCTCAATGGCACCCTTGAAAACTTACAAGTCCACTAGGCAACCATTGGAACCAGCCGTAGGCGAAGTGTGAAATACACATATCCAGAGGAAAGTTTACATACGCTGATATTGAGGGCCCAGCCAAAGTACCGGCCACAAATGCGCGGGGACAGCTGCTAAGCTCTGCTGAACCTTGCGCTGCCCCGTGAAGCTCTGCGAGGCCCTGCTACAGCCTGCTAAGCCCTGCTAAGTCCTGCTGAGCTCTGGTGGGCCCTGCTATAAGCGCTGTCAATCCCTGGTAAGACCTCCGACGCCCTGCTACGCCCTGCTGGGCCTTGCTAACACCTGCGGCGCCTTGCTTGGCTCAGCTGGGCTCTGCAAGCTCGGGTGAGCCATGTTTCGCCCCGCTAAGATCTGCTAAGCTCTGCTAAAGCGAGCAAAGACCTGCTGGCCTTTGGTGTGTTGTGCGTGGTGCCTTGTGTCTGGTATGCTGTGTGCTGTGTGTTGTCTTGTGTGCTGTGTGTGGTGTGTTGTGTTGGGTGTTATGTGTGGTGTGTTGCGTGTTGTGTGTAATGTTCAAAAACCTCTGGGGAACTTTCAGAGGCTTCTCGGGGTGCTTCGACAGCATCTCGGGAGCTTTGGGAAACCTCCTTAGAATTTATCAGGGCCCCTCGGAAGCTCACAGAAGCTTCTCGGAAGCTCACAGTGGCCTGCAGCAGCCGTCATAAGCCGCTCGGATCCGTTTAGAAGCCTCTCGGAAGCCCTCGCAAATATCCCAAGGCCCTTCGGATGCTCCCAGAAGTCTTTATGACATGTTCAGGATCAACGAATTCTGGGGAGTCTTCTGGATTTTTCAGAGGCGCTCAGGATTCTTTAAGGTTACCCTTGGATTCCTCGGGAGTCCTCAGGATGCCCCAGGGTTCCTCAATAGTCTCGGGTCGGGCGAAAGGGGGGATAGCAAAGGGGGGGTTTGAGAATCAGCTCACGTAGTTGATTTTCCCGGCGCCTCCCGGCGCCGGGGGCGGCTATGTATCGAGGAATGGGCCCCTCGGTGGGGCCGAAAACAGCTGCACGCAGCAAATTTCGTACCCCCCCCTTTCCGAATCCCCCCCTTTCGTCCGGCCCGATAGTCTTTGAGCCCTGTCGCAACAAATCGGGATTCGAACGGCCCCGCCGGGAATCGCGAAGAACTCCGCAGGAACCCGAATTTCGTTGTAAGGTCTCCGACGCACTTCTGGGGGGCAATATGAGGAACACGAATCGTTACCGAAGGAATCCTGTGAACATCGTTTGGCGCATGTGAATCCCGCCATAAACCAAGTGTGACTCACTCGTACTCTGTATTCGGTCATCTACCAGTATTGCCGGCCTTACACAAACACCGGCCACAGATGGGCGGGACGCTTCCGGCCATAAACAAATGGTGACCCTGCCACTACAACATACATGTGTTTAAGCAGGGGGGCCGCCGTCCATCAGCGCAGCCTGTTGCACATGCACATGTCAGTTCGGATGCACCCCCCTGCGCGGCGCCAGTGTCACAACATCTGTGCGTCGATCTCCCGCGAAGGAGGTCGCTTTGGGCCGAACGGTACCCGCCCTCCGACGCCGTGAGCCATGGGCTGCCCCGACGGCGCGCCAAAAGAGAAGTGGGTGTGTGTGCGTGTGTGGTTCCCCTGTCGCTCTCAATCTCTCTCTCGCAACGTCTCTCTGGCTCTCTGTCTCTCTATCGCTGTCTGCATCTCGCGCTGTTACTCTGCGAACGCACAGGAGACAGTTCAATTACAGAAGCTCAAACGTTCTATTATACTGATTGAGCCTTAGGAACTGTCAGCCGAACATGGTGTCTTGAACACGTGTCGCCACCAATCCCTGCAGCAGTAAATCATGGAGGGTTGGTTGAACTGCAATGGATCCAAGCGCGACGCCCAAACTCTGAACAAACATAATGCATTCTATCGGCGTGCGCATTTGGATGTGCTAGCGTTTGGTGCGGTAATTTGACGGATCTTCCAACGAGACCCGCACGCCATCCGTGTAACTGCTGCGAATTGCGAACTGAAATTTTCAAGATCGCCATCCGCACAACAGGCCTGTCATCCGTGCAATTGCAATGGATGTCAAGCCCTGAGACCACGAAACAAAAACGAATGGCAATGCCAAACCTCGCTTCGAGACTGTGCCTTTTGTCAACCCGTGTAAATTTGGCGATGGCAGCTCTACAAACGAATGTAAAAACATGGAAACGAGAGCTAGATATTGACAAGGATCTGTCCCCCGTCCGCGTACCTGCTGAGGCCTTTGGAAACAGCTATACGCGGCACTGAGAGGAGAACGATTGCTGAAGCGGCCAGGCCTCCACCCGCATAGATTCTGCAACATGTTGAGACGGAAGCAAGCGCTTCAAGGCGACATGCATAAGCAATAACACAATCCACCATGCATGCGTGGAGCTGGTGGCAGGTCCGCGCTGTAGGGCAATCCCGGGCGAAAGCGCCTCACGCGAAATGGCGGGACCGCCCTACCGACATGCTTGATGGTGCAGCGAAGACGAGTCACGCTTGAGGAAAACACCGTGCTGAGAGGAACGAGATTTGTGAGGGATGAGGCACGTTTGGTGAGGGAGGCGGAGAAGAAACACCAAACGGAGCAGAGACGGGAGGGGCAGCAAGAGGACGTGCCTCCCGCACGTCCTGGGCCAAACGAATTCGCGCTGCGGGCCGCCGCTCGCCCAGGCCGCGATACGCGGTTCGCGCTGCGCCACTGCAGGTGACCTAGCTCATTCCCCTCGTCATCCTTTTCAACTTTTCATCTTCCCTCTCCTCCTCCTCCTCCTCCTCCTCCTCCTCCTCCTCCTCCTCCTCCTCCCTCCTCCTCCTCCTCCCTCCTCCTCCTCCCTCCTCCTCCTCCTCCTCCTCCTCCTCCTCTCCTCCTCCTCCCTACTCCTCCCCCCTCCTCCTTGGTTCGCTCGCGCCCGCTCCTCCCGCGTTCCAGTGCGCGCGCTCCCGGGAGCGCCGATGGAGGAAGAGCCGGCTCCTCCTGCGCTTTCCCCCCCTCCCCCATTTTCGTTCCTGCTGCTTCTCCTTCCGCGTTCCTGTCCTCCTCCCCTCTCCTCTGACCTCTCGGGCCCCGTCCCTCTTCCTCAGATTCGCCCCCCAAACCTGAAGGGGAACTGGGACACACAAATAAATACACACAAATAAAAATATCCACCATATTTTCCCATATTTTCTGGGTTTCTGTCTTCCCCCCCACTTCCCATATTTTCCCATATTTTCTACGGAATCGAGGATTAATTGTGTCTGTGTGTTTTTCCCCTCCTGAATGTTCGCCCCTCAAACCCCCTGATCGGTGCCATCGTCGTCGTCGTCTCCTCCGTGGCCGGCCGCTGCAGAGACGAGTCCTCGCGCTGCTGGACTATGATCGGCGACGCCCAAGAGTGCCCCTAGGCTCCTCCTCCATCCTCCCTCCTCCCTCCTCCCTCCTCCATCCTCCCTCCTCCCTCCTCCCTCCTCCTCCCTCCTCCCCTCCTCCCTCCTCCTCCCTCCTCCCTCCTCCCTCCTCCCTCCTCCCTCCTCACTCCTCACTCCTCCTCCTCCTCCCTCCTCCCTCCTCCCTCCTCCCTCTTCCCTCCTCAAAGTGACCTTGTTGAGTGCAAAAACTTCGGGGGCCTCGGAGAGACCAACTCCTACGCGTACAGCGTCCATTGATGTTTGGCGTGGGAGCGTCACGCTGTCCATCGCCAAACCATCGAAACCCAACAAACCCATGGCATCCTGGAGGCAAGCAGGGTGTTTCTTGCCCTGGGCTTCAACTGCAGGCAAGAGTGATGCGTTTGGGTGCGCGAATTTCGCGGGCCGCGGAGAGACTAACTCCTGCGTGTGGCCGATTGGGGAACAGCTCGCGAGAGCATCGCCGAACAACATCGAAGCGCGGCAACCCCGCGCGCAAGAGTGACCCTAGGCAAGAGTGGTCTTGTTGGGGGCGCGAATTTCAGGGGCCGCGGAGAGGCCAACTCCTGCGTGTACAGTAGGGGCTCGCCCACAGGAAACCTTCCACAAGAAACCAAACCCTGAGACCCCAGGACGTCCATTGATGTTTGGCGTGGGAACGCCACGCTGTCCATCGCCAAACCATCGAACCCCAAGAAACCCAGAGCACCCTGGAGGCAAGCAGGGTGCCTCTTGGCCCTTGGTCTCCACTGCGGGCAAGCAGAGAGACCCCGTTCTGGGGGCCCGCTATTTCGCGGGCCGCGGAGAGGCCAACTCCTACGTGCAGCCGACGTGAGCGCAACTCGCGAGCCCGTCGCTTGAGCAGGGACCGACCGTCCCGGCATCCCTCTAGGCCTACCACGAAATATTCTTAAACCCCAAAGTGTTCGAAAAACAGAAACATTACTACTAGAACACACCCCCGATGTGTTCAGTCAGGGCAGTATCAGCCAGAAATGTTCTGAGAACAGGTCGCGCAGACCACAAAAGCTTCTTAGAACGTTCTTTGGTGGGCCTCTGGGCGAGCCAGGACGCTTCGCCGCTGCTTCAGCCGCCGCCAAACATCGGAGCGCGGCAGGCCCCCGGCCTGTGGTCGGCGGCAGGACCCTGGGCGCCGCGGCCTCCCAGCCGCCGGCCTGGCCCCAGGAGCCGCCGTCCTGCGGCGGCGCGCACCGTGGGGGGGGGCGGCGCGGGGGGGGCGGGAGCCCGTCAACAGGCGCCCAGGAAGACCCAACCAGCCAGGCACGAACGCAAGGATTCGCCACATGTTCCAGGCTTTCTGTGTGTGTGTGTGTGTGTGTCTTCCCCTCCCTTTCCCATAGATTCCAATATGTTCTTGGAAGTCTACGTTCATTCGTGTCTGTGTCGATTCTCCGCTCCTGAGTCCGAGGAGGCAAAGGACCCTGAGATTCTGGCGTCGCAGTTGTTTCACAGCGGGGGGTGTTGCTCTGTCTCGGGCCCCGAGCTCTTTTCGTTCTCTCTGGTTTCGTGAGGTGTGGCTGTCACACACAGACGGGGGAGGAGGAGGAGGAGGAGGAGGAGGAGGAGGAGGAGGAGGAGGAGGAGGAGGAGGAGGAGGAGAAGGAGGAGGAGGAGGAGGAGGAGGAGGAGAGGAGGAGGAGGGAGGAAGAGGAGGAGGAGGAGGAGGAGGAGGAGGAGGAGGAGGAGGAGGGAGGGGAAGAGGAGGAGGAGGAGAAGGAGGAGGAGGAGGAGGAGGAGGAGGAGGGGAGGAGGAGGAGGGGAAGGAGAGGAGGAGGAGGAGGAGGAGGAGCAGGAGCAGGATGAGCAGGAGGAGGGAGGAGGAGGAGAGAGGGCAGGAGGAGCAGAGGAGGAGGAGGAGGAGGAGGGAGGAGGGAGGAGGAGGAGGAGGAGGAGGGGAGGAGGAGGAGGAGGAGGAGGAGGAGGAGGAGGAGTGGCTGTCGCACTCCCTGCCCGCTACCATCGGGCCACTCGGATGACGAACGCCGCGCGCATGCGAGAAAACCAACATCGCTCGAGCGCTTCTATCTCGACTACAACAGCAAAAGGACGATTGTCCAAAAATCTGCCGCCTCTGTACACCATGACCAAATATCTGCCCAATCGACCCGTGAGTCCGTGACGGCCATGGGGGCCCTCACGGATCGATCCTGCTCGGAAGCGTGCAGCAGAAATGCTGAGTCTAGGGCTCCGGTCGTGATGGTGCAAGATGTCGCATTTTTCCTTTCCCGGATAGCTCGTAGTTGTGAGACTAGAAGCTGGCACTGCAGGGTAGTGGAGCTCGTTCTGGCTTCTGGCAGAAATCCCCGCTGCGAATTGCTTGAGCTATTTGCGGTTCCCGGATGGCGTTTTCTACATGCTTCCTTATACGTGTGCCATCAAGCCTTCCAGAAGCTCTTTTCCAGACCTTCCAGAGCTCCTTCGAAGTACCTTCCAAAAACTGCTGTCGCCTCGCTACCCAAGTTGTGGGCACCACGGAAGTGCCACAGCGTCAGATCTGAGGGGAGCTTCTCAGAAAAGGCCAGGGGCCTTCCCAGAAACCCTCCTGGCCCCAGAGAAGCCCTCCGAAGCCTCGGGAGCTCTTCAAACTATCGAGGAACCAAAAAGCTGCACAGACGTAAACTGCTGGATGACGCGTGGACTTCGTGTATCGGCGCTGGGCTTCCTTCCCTATAGAGCGCGGAGCGCGCCAGTTGCGGCGCCGGAGGCGCCGCCCAGGGTGTCCAACACAGAACCCAAAAAGTCGGTGCGGAGCTCCGAAAGCTTATTATCATGTCGTTGCGGTTTCTCCCCAGCTTGCTGCCATCGCTCGGACGCCCATTGTTCGAACACATATTGGTCTCGCGTTTTTGTTTTGGGTCCCGCAAGATGCTCCAGGATGGTCCTCGCCGAGCACAGATGTCGCCGCACCGTTTGTTCTGGACGCGCCCAAAAGGACGCTGCCGACAACCTGGCAAGCTCACATCAAACTCTGCGTCCGAGGCGTCGTCTTTGTTCCTGGTGGCAGCGGCGACCTCCCCAAGACGTAAGGCCGCGCGTCGGAACAAACGGCGCGGCGACACATGCACACCTCCGAGCGATACCAAGCGCTTCTTGATGAACCAACACAGGACCCCTGACCCTTTGGGAGTGGACCTAAGTTAGGAGGGCCAAAACATTGGGGAGAGAGGATCTCTTCAGCAGCTGTATCAGACCAAGCCGTCCAGAACTATTCCCCTCATGCGAAGACGAGGACCTCAGTGAGGCCACGTCTTCGTCGTGTTGCTAGCGTCCCAGACCCCCGACGTCATGATTTTTTCATGACGTCGACCACCAAGAGGTTTCGACATATTCCCCGGGACCGGTTTGTCCTCCTGAGTGGTCTTTGGACGGCCACGAGGCCCGGCGAGGGCCCCCAGAGGCCGAAAAGGGCGAAAAACCTCCCGCCATGATTTTTTCATTACTCGAGGCGGTCTGGGGTTAGGGCTAGGTCGGGCGTGTCCCTGTACAGACGGAGCTTAGAAGAAAAATACAAACTACCCCCCACATGCCCAAACATGCAAACAAAACAAAAAAAGCGTCCCCATGTTATTGTTCGATTATTTTGGAATATTCCTCCTGTAGAGGGACAGGCCCGACTTCAGGTCAGGGCTTCTTTTGTGCTCGGTGCTTCGTTGCCTCTCGGCAGAGAGCGGCCCCACCCGCGCTAGGCCGTCCCCGGTGCGCGCCGCCCCGGGGGCCTCGTGCTGCGCGGCGTCGTCGCCCCAGGACCGCTGCGGGCCCCAGCCGCCCTGCTGCCAGCCCCCCTTGGCCTCGGGGGAGCTCATCGGGGCGATCGACAGGGGCACCCTGTAGGTTTCTTGATGTGACTACCTACCAGACCACCCCAACCCAACCCGAAGACCCGAATTTGACCCGAATTTCGGGTTGGGGGGGGGGGGTACGGGTTCCATGTGTTGTTTCAACGTTCCCCGACCCCCCCCCCACTGGAAATGGAGGGCAAATTGAAGCCTTCGGGTTGGGTTGGGGTGGTTTGGTGGGTGGTAAGCGTGGGGGGGGCCCCCTCGACGGGGGTCAACCTCGCCTAGTCGTCGCGCCGCGGTGGGGGTCGGAGCGCCTTCGGCGCGCGGTGGCTGGTCGCGCGACAGGGGTCGATGCGGGGCTGTCGGCGGGGGCGACGCCCTCCCGACGCCGAGTCAGAAACTAGGAATACGGAAAGAGCGGGTGCGATGCACAACGGCAGTTCCTGTCCATTCTGGGAGCACGGGGTGCGGGAAGAGTGGGTGCGATTAGGGGAACGAAGAATAACACGAACAAAAATACGGAGGTCTGCGCGGATTTCCTCGGATCGGCGCTGGGGCCCCCTGGCGGCGCCTCCGGCGCCGCCCCTGGCGCGCTCCGCGCGCCAGGGAGGTGGGTCGAGCGCCGATCCGAGAAATCCGCGCAGACCTCAAAGTTTTTATGTTTATGTCATTGTTCGTTCCCCGAACGATGCACAACAGCAGTTCCTGTTCATCTTGAACGGGATTCGCTGCCCGCGCAGCCGCGGACGCGTTCCACTGAAGACAAGAAGCCGCCCGTTCGTCGGTTATGGACAACACTTGTTGTTGGGCATTGTACCCATGTTTTCCGTACCCATGTGGGCGTCCAAAGTTGGAGGGCAACGTTCGGAGGGAAACCAAAAAACGATACATCTGCTCCCAAGACCTCTCCCGGGGTGCGTTCGGCCCGGAATCTCGGCGCCAATCCTGCCGTGGCGGCGAGGGCCTCCCAGGAGGACCCCAAAACGCGAAAACGAGGAACGCGGGCCACATGAATATACACCACCACCGCGTCGATCCCTTCTCCCTCCTCTCCCCTCTCCTTCCTCTCCTCTTTCCTGGGAGATGGGTGGGCGTGCGGGAGGTGGTGGTGGTGTACACGCTGGGGCCCCGGAAAGGGAAGGGTCGCGGTGGGGGTATGCTCCTCCGACGCTCGGCGGAGACCGGCTCCTGGCGGGAGACACATCGGCCTGGGACCGGCGGCGCGTCGGCGATCGATCGGCGACGGGCCCCCGCCAAGGATCTACGGGCCAATGTCCATCCAGACCCGGGTCAGTCGGGCGCAGTCGGATCCTGCAGGATCCGAACGTTCCCCCTGAAATGTGGACGCCCAAGGAGGCACGGAAACACTGGGTACCATACCCAAACAGCAAGTGTTGTCCAAAAGCGACAGCGGCCGCTGTTGGACGGGCGGCTTCTTGTCTACAGTGGGACGCGTCCGCGTCAGCGCAACCCCTGGCTCGCAGGCTCCTGCAAGAGCCGGCGCTATGTTTAAGTCGGGCGCGTTCCCCATACAGGGGGATTTTCGACGAGAAGTACAAATACTCCCCACATGTTCCAAAATGATGGAAAAATACTTGAAAAATAGCCCCCGACTATTTTTGTATTATTTTTTGAATATGTTTTGAATACTTTGAATTCCTCGTCGAAAATCCCCCTGTATTGGGGAAGCGCCCGACCTGAGGCTATGTGAGTGACCCCCGTTGGCGTCGACCCCCGTCCCTGGAGCCCTGGCCCCGGACCACCGCGCGCCCCGAGCTTGAAGGGGGCTGGAAAGCCCAGCCAACAGCTTCGCCTCAAGCGAAGCCAAGCTCCAGCTCTGTTGTATCGTAGTAGCGATAGTCCCAGTATGAGAGAAGATGCCATTCCAAGCAATAAGAAGATCGTTTTGGTCTCGATAGCGAAAGTGTGCCTCGCGGTGAGGCACAGTCAAATTTGGGCGGCCGGCCGCTTGAGCCGACGCGGCCGCGGGCGCACGCTCGCTTCCACCCCTTACGTCCCTCAGCCCGCTTTAGAATCGGGGGGGGAGGGAGACGAAGCGTGAGCCCGTCGCCCCTGCAAAGCAGGCACAGCAGCTAATCTACACAAGGACAAGAAAGGAAGCGTGCCCAAAGGAAGGTGGACCCGCTAGCAAGTTTGCCTCGCGTATGCATGACATACTTATCAGGCGGCGTCAGAACTTTATGTCTGGCCGGCCCGATATGGAGTATGTCTCTTCAGGTCATGGTTGAAGGTCTGTATACCTCCCATGACTTGTAGGAGCATGTCTCTGTCGATGCTCCCCTTGGCGTGGCCATCCGCAATCATATCGCGGGTATCACACCATTGAAAACTGTGCACGATTCCACGCTCCATCATCTTTCGTATCCAACTGATATGTCCTAAAAGGGTACACTCAATCGGTTTCTTCAAGTCTTGCTTGACACGGACTTAAAAACAGACTCAGCATAGATGGTCAAAGTGGCCGTGATGCTCAGGCCACCAAACCCAAGTATATATTTCAACTGAGTGGGCGTGAGCAGCCCCGCGTGGAGCTCGCGCAGAGTTTCAATCGTGGGATAGCAGTCCTCCAATGTATGGGCTGCTGCTAGCGTCTTTGCTGAATAGCTCGAGCGGACCTGCAAGCGGTGAGACTTGCAGCGCGCATCAATCAAGTGAGCGACAGGCTTACCAGATGACGTGTTTCCACGTCGTAGCAGGTTTGCCCCGCGAATACCATAGCCTTTGACGTCGTCGTCGGCGTCTCCACTCAGGCGTCGATATCCTGAGTCGCTATGTAAGTCGACCTCGCCCGTGGGGTTCATTGCCTGGTAGACGATCTTCTTCGGGCATGCCTGTAACTTTCTGGTGATCGCGTTCAGTCGTCGCACTTGAATGTTGGTCGGTTCTTGGACACGCTGTAGAGATACAACATACACCAGTAACCACCTGGGTGATCAGTGCGTATGCCAGCGCACCCCTGAGACTGACTAACATGTCTGCCACCATCTTGGTTGCTTGAGCGTCAGCGTCAGCGCCGGTTAGTTCGGGATGTTGTATGAGACGGGGCTGTTTAACATATTCATCTTGATCCAAGGTAACATTACCGTCCTCGTCCTTAGTGTATCTCACGTCACAGTTAGTATGTGTGTGCTTGTTGAGTTTACACTCGCCAAAAGTATCTTCAACGCATTTAACGCATTTGTCAATGGTGCCCCCAGTGCCGGCCATATCAATGTCATCAACATTCTTGGCAGTGAGCAATTTATTGCTCGTCTCGAACTCCTCGTCGTAAGACGTGGGTCGGAGGCAAGATCCCCTGGTGGTTCTTCTGAGCTTCAGTAAGAAAGCCCGTGGAGCGCCCTTAGTGCCTGTGCCCGGTTTCAAGCACTGTAGGCAGTGCTTTGACTCGTCGTAGTTCTCGAACCCTGGACGAGCACGGAGCGCAGTGGCCGATCCAGGCGGCGCAGTAAAGCACACCACACGTTCCTTTTCACGAGTAGCCTCAGCAAGTTCCTGATAGGTCAATCCCCTCAGGAAGGCCATGTTGATGTCGAGGGAAGCAATGACCCACTGCTTCTTGCGCGCTGCCGTGCTAGCGAGTAACCTCTGGCTCAATGAAGAGGGCCTTCGATACTTTATCGGGATTCGCCTGAATGTCAGCTTTAGCGAAGAGGTCGTCTTCCTTGACGACCGCGGCTCGCTTTGCAGCGGCGGTAACGCATACTCGCACAGTTGTCACCCGGTCGGCATATGGTATCATGCGTTGCTGCTCGGACAAGACTACCTTCGACATTTCCATGGTAAAGCATAGTTCAACGTATCGACCATCTTCGTCTGAGTCGAGTCCGTAGCTGTCGTCTTCGACCATGGTGCACAGGGGGGTGTAGTACGTCTCCTCGGTATCGGAGTCGCGAGTGCGTCACCACTGCGGCAGGTGCCCCCGCTGTTCATCAGCTACAGTGATCAGCGCGCCCTGATCTGGAACCATCTGCGTGGGCATGGTAAAGACGTCCTCTGGCGGAGTTACCTCCGACAGCTCTCTTTCCTCTTGCAATTCTGCGTGCCACAACATCACGACATGCGACTCAAGATCAGCTTCTGATTCCTCGTAAATCGTAGAGAGCCGACCGTCATCATGTGCTGGCTCGGCTTCTGAAGCTTCTCTTGCGGTTCCTTCCGGTGTCGGCGCATCAGCCGAGTCCTCAAATTCTGACATGTCCTGATCGAAACCTGCTTGAGGTTACAAGGATTTCAGGCATTGGATGATTCGTGAATGTGCTGATCCAGCTATATCATATATGATCAGAGCGGTACCTTCTGCTTCGTAGAAACGGAATCCTGGATTCACGCCGTTGTCGCAATGGACCAATGCGCAGCTGTCGGCATAAGTAACAGGAGGAAGCTCATGGATACTCTTGGCTAGTCTGACCAGAACTACATTCTCAATGCGAAAGAAGTCTCGGTTAAGATATAGAAGGGGCCAATTGTACCTTAGGGGATAGACGACTTGCAATCGTCATCTGAAGCGTACCTTTCTTGGTCGGCACATAGCCAGATGTCAAAGGAGGCCCCCCCCGCTGATAGGCTGGCTACGAATGTCAACACTGTGCGTAGCGCAGTGTTGTCGGAGCAAATCTCTCGGATTATGAGTGCTTCAATACATGATGAATGCCTTGCATCGCCGCGTTGTACCTGGACACCTCGATTGCCTGCTCGGATGATGACCTGACCCCTTTCGGGATCATTCCTTACGACTGGGATCGGGCCATTCCAGCCTCCCCAGTCATCCTTCGCGGTCGTCGGCCGATGGTACTCGACCATGTCTCCTTCGTCATAATCGTGCTGACCAGTAATTGTCGTAGTGCGTAAGGCACGATTGGTCTTAGCTACTGCCGTGGCCTGTGTGATAGCTTCAATACATACCCTGCGTATCGTCGGTTCACGAGAGTGATCTGATGTTTCCGTCGGCTGCTCGTGGTCCAGAACAGGGAGGTCAGGGAGCATTGCTG